GCACCCTATAGCTGTGGCCCACACGCACGGAACATTCCTGAAATAATTGGAAGTGTGCATTTTCCTTCCATTTCGGCCCTTGCTCACCCACAGAAAAGGGAGTCTCCCTGCCCGCCCACTGATCTGTTTGGTTTGGAGGGCGGCTCTGCCCTGTGGCCGCGCTCTGCCCCAGGAATCCCGTACTTCCGACCACTTCTGTGCGGCCGTTTCCAAGAAAGAGCTGGCCACGGGCAGGGTGGAACGGCCCCCTCTCCTGAGGATGGAGCCTTTATAAACAGTGCAGGAGGAAGTAACCCACATGCCCTCTCCAGGGGGAAAAGCCTCACAGAGATGCCCACGCCCTGTAGCTGCGGCCACTCCCGTTTCAGATTGGGTGCCCCCTCAGATACCCGATTTCCATTCACTGTGTGTCTAGGGAGAGAGGATGACTGATGGTTGATGGACACGGAAACTGGGGTCACGTCAGCTAGGTTCTGAGTGTCCTCTTGCCCAAGGTCTTTGGTCCCGCTGGGAGGAAGAGTCTGTGTAGGGCGAGCTGCTTTCAGTGGGAACAGCAGACTGTATTCACAACTTAGGCCCAGCCTGGCGCAGACTCCATGTCCAGGCCACCAACCATGTTTGCAGTTCCAAAGTGAAAGGCTGGCTGGCTGGGAGTACGTATTTTATTCAGGGATGCTTTCTTGTCGAATAAGCCCCAGGCTTCTTCCTCTCATCTCCCCAAACTATTTGGACATATTTGGACATAGTAGTCTGGCATCCAGGCTGTTTTGTGTCCAGGGCCCTCTGGTTCTGAGAGACGACAGATTTCCTTACTCACCTGTCACCTTCCAGCCAGAAAGGGTGCTCAGTGTCCCCAGCACCCGTCTGCCCCTTAACTTCTCCGAGATTCAAGAAACTATTTCTTGGGCATCAGATATCAACCTAGAATCTCGTAGTTTGGTGTAAAGGAAAGGGAAGATGGAGGGACCCAAGCCCAGGAGACTTAAGGGCAAAGCACAGCTTCCTTCGAGCTCCGGGGAGGCCAGCAGCTGCATGTAGAGTGAGGATGGCATAAGGTGGAGAAGGGACGTGTGTGCAGGAGAAGGGCCGGGAGTGACCTGCAGGGGGTCAGTAACCCAGGGGCTGTCAGCCCAGGGAGAGCGGAGGGAGGCGTAAGGTGAGAGAGAGAGAGAGAATGAGCGGGGGAAGCTGGGGCAGGAAGTCTCAAGATTAGGGGAGCTCCAAGGACAGGAGGTGGAGAGCAAACCCACCTGTCCACTCATCAAGGGCTAAAGGACAAGCAAGAATGATGCCCAGTAACATCAAGGACCCAGTTGAGCGTAGAGCGGACGTGGCCCTGGCGTTGACGAGAACTCATCTGGGAGATTCAGGAGTAGAGGCGCCGAGCAGGGCTGAGCTAAGGCTGGTCACCCTCCCACTGAGCACAGAGAAGCTGAGGGGCACCCAGGTGTGGCTGTGGGTGAGCAGGAAGCTGTGGAGCTGACTTCAGCTGGGGTAGAACCAGAAGGGCGCTACGGGTCCACGGGACAGAGGGCCCAGAGAAGGCAGAGGAGGGGCCTCGGCGGGAGGAAGCTGGGCGGACCGCCCCAAGTGCAGATCCTGGTAAGGCAGGCAGGGAACACGTTGAAGATGGTGCAGGTAAAGCCGGAGGGGAGGGAGGAAGTGGAAACAGTTCAGGTTGCGTTGTCATCGTGGATACTGATGTTGTAGGAATGGGCGTCAGTAAAACGAGAGCCAGGCAGAGAGGTCAGCCGCGAAGGTGCTGCCCCATCTGGAGAGGGCACAGAGTAGAGGTGGGGCAGGGCCTGAGTGCGGGGGTGGCAGACCTGTGTGTTCAGACAGCCGTGGGGTGGAGCAAGCAGCCTGGAACGCCGTGACAAGCCAGCCTCTCAGAGTGTCAGCGAACCTCAGGAAAGGGTCGGGCGGGGGCTTCCCATGGAAAGCAGCTCCAGTGTCCATGGACCCCAAAAACTCTCTGAAGAAGCGTCTCCACCTCTGTTTCAGGATCGCCGGCGACACAGCCCTGAGCAAGAACATCCACGAGTCCGTCAGTGCCCAGATCAGGAAGAATTTCGCCAAGAGCAGGTGGAGGGTAAGTCCCGTGGCGCTCTGCCCCGCGAGTGTGACCGCCCACGTGGAGCGCGCCCGGCCACTGGAGCGTTTCTCGTGTCTAAAGGTTACAGTCACCTGAGTTTGATGAAAATCCTCAGAACCTCCCCAAATAATTTTGCTAATTTTCACCGATAATGATGCGGACTTTAAAAGAGTGTCACAGCGTGAGAGGGGTGACGTCTGTGGTTTGATAGTCCCCTCTGAGGATCAGAACCAGCCTTACTGAGAGCTCTGACTCGTTCGCTGGGTCTGAAGGACATGGTCTTTCTCCACTTTGCTGGAACTTTGAATAGTCAACTTATATTAAAGTGACACCAAGGAGAAAAAAAAACAAGAAATCTGAGTTGCACTCATCAGTGTTTTCTGGTAAAAATGTGATGGATTTAAACCAACGTTTTTGTTATCACCGCCTGTGATCCTAATCGTGTGGGTAATTAAGAGCCACCATACAAAAACAAAATTAATAACCCAGACCTCTTTTATTCAGAGGAAATGCTATTATCTGGGACAAAAGCACCAATCATAGGAAAATAAAAACTATTGAAAAATGTTACGTTTTAAGGTACCACATTACTATAATGCCTTTTATTCTAAAAGTCACTTCTTTTAAATTATAGAGAATTGGTTTACATTTATTCCATATGTTTACTACGTCAGAAGAAAACTATGTTTTTAAATCTCCAAAATATATTTTGATGGGGGAGGGATCAGATACATTAATGTAATTTTAAAACAGGGGGCAATATAAATTTCCTTTCTAGAGTATCATGGGAACATTTTTAGAAGTTTGAAATGCTTAGAGTCACAGGAGAAATAATAATTGACATTCTGAATCTTTTTAATTAACTAGAATATTTTGTCTCCTTTTTTCCTTTCTTAAATTTCAGCAAGCATTTAATGCCACAGCCGTCGTGAGGCATATGAGAAAACTCCATCTTGGTAGCAGCCTGGACAGTTCAAATGCAAGCGTTTCGAGCAGCCTCAGTCTGGCCAGCCAAAAAGATTGTGCGTATGTAGCAAAAACAACTTTTCAATTGGCATTTAAGACAAATCTGGGGTGGAAAGGAGGGCACTTGTCATTTGCTGAGTACCTTCCATGTATCAGGCACTTTCAATAATTTATCCCATTTAGTACTCTCAGCAACTCTGGGGCATGATTTAATTTTTAAAAATAGAGTTTTTATATATTTTTTAAAATTAAATGTATTGCAGTAACATTGGTTAATAACATTAAATAAGTTTCAGATGTACATCTTTATAATATGACATCTGTACACTCTAATGTGTGCTCACCGCCCGAAGCTTCGTCTCCTTCTGTCGCCATGTACTTGACCCGCTTTACCCGCTTCGTCTTCCCCCGACCTCTGTTCCCCCCGGAAACCACCATTCTATTGTCTGTGTCTGTGAGTTTGCTTTTTGTTTGTTTTGTTTGTTCATTTGTTGCTTTTTGTTTTATATCCCACATACGAGTGAAATCCTGTGGTTCTTTTCTTTCACGTCTGACTTCTTTTACTTAGCATGATACTCTCAAGATCCATCAGTGTTGTCACAAACAGCAATGCTTCATCTTTTTTATGGCTGAGTAGTATTCCATCGTATATATGGATCACATCTCCTTTATCCAGTCATCCACTGAAGGACACTTAGGTTCTTCCATGTGTTGGCTACTGTGAATAATGCTTCCATGAACATAGGGGTACATATATCTTTGTAAATAAGTGTTTTCAAAATTTGAGGATAGATACCCAGAAGAGACATTGTTGGGTCATATGGTAGTTCTGTTCTTAATTTTTTGAGGAATCTCCATACTGTTTTCCATAGTGGCTGTACCAACTTATATTCCCAAAATTAATATTTTAATATTCACACAACTCTACATATGATTATTTCCATTTGTTATGAGAAGTCCGTTGCTCCAGTCCCGCACGTCCATGTCTGTCTGCTTGCCCTCTGATTTGCTTGTCATTGTGAGTCACTCTTAGGAGCTGAGGAGGGGATGGCAGAGACTCCTGACAGCCTGATGTCACTGACTTTTCAGATATACTTTTTGATGAGGACAATAATAACCGGAGCTGGTTTATATGAAATGCACTGGCTTTGCAATCTACGTAATCGCAGTGTTCATTATCCTTCACTCGGTGTGGAAAGTTATGTCACTGAGGGCAAAGCCATCTTAATCGTTTATTTATGGCTCAACCTGTGTCTGAGCCTGCGAAGTTCAGAGGGACATGCATCCCTGGAGCTAAGCTGCCCCGCACTCAGACTTTCTGGTCCCAGCACATCTGCTCGGGGACCGGTGTGGTGCAGTCTGTGAGGGATTTTTCCAGGCTAGAGTGTTGCTGAGTTCACACAGGAATAGAAAAACAGCCCCATTTCAATGTGCTCTGTGTCACAAACGCGTCTTAGCCAAAAGTACAGACCACTCACCAAGCAGGGATCAGAAGGGGTAGCACATTTTCTCTTCATTCTTAAAATGCCTACTTCATGGAGCTGCTGTAAGAAACAGGTCTCATAATGACAGTGTGCATTCAACACCTAGCCCGAGGCCTCATACGTAGTAAGTGCTCAGTAAATGGCACCTGTCATGTTAGGGTGGCTAAACCATGTCTTACTCAAGTACAAAACAGTTATAATGAAAAAGGAGGGCAGGGCTGGGTCTCAGAAGAAGATGTTTTGGACACATTGCAAATGTTTTCCTTGATTTTTTTATGCACTAAAAACTTTAAATCAAGCGCCTAAAGGACTGACTTCCCCACCCTCAACAAATCCTCGCAGGGGGCCGGGGAGTGAGTATTTCCTCCTGAAGCTTTGAACCCTTGTGTCCACTGTCCCCTGCAGGTCTGGCACCCTCCACGCTCTGTAGTTTCATTTCCTCTTCCTCGGGGGTCTCAGCAGTGGGAGCGGAGCGGAGACCGAGGCCCACCACTGTGACGACAGTGCACTCCGGAAGCAAGTGACTGGCTCTGGAGGTGGGACGCTGGGGGGGTGGGGCCTCAGGCGGGGCCAGGGAAGGGGGTCTCTAGGGCCCACCAGCGCCACCAGCCGCTCCAGAGTGATCCCACCTTGCATGGTGCGCCTTCCTGCACAGGACTGGAAGACAGATGTTTTTTATGGCCATATTTTATACTGCAATTCTGAAGTGTTCATTTCTCACAAACTGTACTGACTCAAGGGAGCTGATTTAATAGGATCTGGTGCTGTATATATGAATCTTGCGAAGCTTTGATGGAATGGACTTCCTGCGCGTCCTTTCCCCAATTCCTGTCATTTCCGCCCTTCTTAGTATAAGTAACCGTCTGTGATGTATTTTTTTTTTTTATTAATGACAAAAAGGTTTCAACTGGATTATTTAAGTATTGGTAAATATTGAGCATTAGGGTTTCATTTTTTTCCTTTTAAGAAATATGTCCTTGCAATTTATACTTCTTAGTTACATGACCTATATATCTTTTGCTTATTGTAGTAAATTTTATGTTAACCTGTACGAGATTTTTTTTCCTCCAAGGCGAATTTCAAGGTATTTTTTAAAATTCTAACAAGAGGATGGAGAATCCGTCTCCCAGGTGAAGAGTGCACTTTACTTCTCGCCCTCCCGCTCTGCCCCCTTCCGTGAGGGCCCGCTCTCCAGCAGGGCAGCTCAGCGGTCCTGCAGAGCTGTCCTCTCTCCAGGACGCTTTGGGAGGGAACCTGCAGAAAACCTTTCCTGGCAGCTCCTCCAGCAAACCCCTCGCCAGCTGGAAACCCGAGGGGCCTCTTGCCATCAGCGGTCAGAAATTAAGAAGCCTGCTCCCTCCAGGCTGAACTTCAGAGGCTGGACTTGCTGTGAAGGAGACTCCCGCCCAGCGCATGTTTCCATGTGCTTACCAAGGAGCAAGATGCCGTTTTGTTTAAAGGGAACCTCCCATGCAGCTCCTGTTTCTCACGAGGGGTAACCCATGAAAGCTCTGCTCTCAGCTATGCAGTTTTCAAATTAATCTCTCTCTGTGTTTTTTAAAAATGGGTTTCTAATCTTACACTTAAAAAGGCCTCCAACTCACATCAGTTGTGTCTGCACATTTTTACTCTGTTCTTGTATGAATGTTATCTGGAGGAGGAGAAGGAAATGGCCTTGGAAAAGAATCTATTGATCTGGTGTCGTAAGGAGAGGTGACCTGCCAAACAAGCAGGACACTGGCCACTGCAGTGATGGCACAGACCGCCTGAGCCAGGCCCAGCCGGCGCTCGAAGCTGTCCCTCTGACCAGGGCAATCTGAAAACCAAAGATCACGAGGGTGGGGTCACCAAAGGCCCCAGTCTGCCAGGACTGAAGGGTTTCCCGGGGCGTAGGACTCTCAGTGCCAGGCCTGCAACGTCCCAGGCAGACCGGGCCACGTCGCTCACCCACGTGGCGGGGTAGGTGTGCAGGAGCGAGCAGTCGTGGTATGGAACCCAGGGCAAAGCACTTTCAAGGAGGCTCAAGGATGCTGTCTTGTAGAGGCAGGTGGCTCCAAATGCCAGCTTCGCAAAAGCCCGCCCTCAGCTGGCACGGCCTCGTGAGGGTGAGTCCGCATTCCGCACCGTCAGCTCAGTCCCACCGTGGTCCTGGTAGGTCTGTCTGAAGGTCCAGCAACTTTCCAAGCTGTTGTCCTCATGCCCTGTTCCTGCAGTTGGCCAGACTTGGCCGGTCCTGTTGGTTACGCCATCTTTGTCATGTCCACACCTTGGCCTGTGTCCATGCATAATGTTTAGGGATAGCCGCCCCACCCCACACACACACAGTGTTGTTAGCCTCAACAGCTCTGTTCTGCCTCCTTGACACAGTGCAGGTGTGCATAAGGCAGCTGGTCTGCCCTGTTCCCACGTGCGTCGTGGGCAGGAGTCCTGCTTGGCATCTGCCACACGTGTATCTAGAGTGAAATCAGGTACCACTCTTCAAAATCTATAAAAAGCCTGGAAAAGTCTATAAAATAACAATAGACACAGTTAAGAAACAGGTGTCCCCTGAGTTGGATATGCATCAACCCCCACATTCAGAAGGATGATAATGAATCTTGTAAAGAGAATCTGAGGAAACAGGCGTCTCTCCAGACTTAGCAGGATGTTGCTTGCTAACAAGTGCAACGGAACATTCACGTTCCTGCAGCATAAGAAAACAAGTACTTAGATGTCACTCTCGCCAGAATTTGGTACCTCTACTGTGCACCTGCATCGTCATCAGCCCTTTGTGTCATGCAGCACACGGTCAGCTGCACTGGGAAAGCAACATTTAAAGCCAAGTCTGTTATTCGTGACATTATTCTCTGGAGCTGACGTGTGGGTGCTTGTTACATCCAATGAGTTTGAAAGTACGTCTTACCTGAAAAGTGCGGCTGAGAGACGGGCCCTGTTGCGGGCGTCCTTTTTGCGGTGCGGGTCAGCCCTTGGCCGTGCTCAGCCCGGAGCACATCAGGTCTCGGTAACATAGGGCAAGAAGGACACGGTGACTGGTTCCAGTCCAGAGGTTGAACTTGACATCAGGCAAGTCCATACGGTCTCGATGCCACGAGACATAGATTATTTCCTATTGATGTAGGAAGAGGAGAAAATGGCCATCATATGGAAGAACTTTTGCCCTATGGAGAGAGCCTGAGTGTTTGGTGTTATTCATGCTTCGCTAGAACATGAGAGGAGAACCCAGAATGTGCCCTTGTTAAGACCTGTCGAGTGGGTGGCAAGGCCCTAGGATCCTCACTGATGTCACATGCCATCAGTAGTAGCTGAGCATTTCGCATACATACTGCCCGTGAAGCCAGTGCGTGTGTCCCCCCGGCCCCAGCACACGCTTCTGTCAGCCCCGAGCTCACCTCCACCGCCCACGTGGGTCTCCTCACCTCCTCAGAGCAAGCGAATTTGTCTTCTCACCTGAATGTCACATTTTGAAATAGTGTTCTCAAAGGGTCTTTCCTGCCTGTCTGTCCCTCCCGTCCTTCCCTAATCTTCATCAGTGAGGCCGTGAGAGAAGCTAGCACTTGTCTGAAACAGCGAGTTCGGTCCCCAACAGACCAGCAGCTTGTTGCTCTTCACCAGGCCCCTGGAGTCTGGGCTGCTCGCTGCCCTCCCTCGGGCACACTGGGTCTTGGAGTGTCGCATTGGGGTGGGACAGAGACAGCTGGAGCTGAGAGGGGCAGGGCCCGCCTACATGACAGGCACTCAACCGACCATGGAAAACCCTTGCAGAAAGAAGGTGTCCAGATGGATTGACAGCAATGCCACAGGCACTCGCGGCCGTTGCAGTGGGCAGTTTTCACCACCTCTTACTGCCCCTGGCTCCACAGGAGGATGGAAAGGATGTGTCCCCTTAATTTCCCTTTTTTTTTTTTTTAATGAAAAGAACTGTGCAGAAAACATGCACCCCAAAAGCAGGCATGGTTTTGTGTTCTTGACTAAGGTGGTGATTCCATCACTTCTAAAACCTCACCGCAAGAACAGGGAGCAGCTCGCCTGGCACAGGGGCTTGTGACCGTTGAGCGGGTCCCACTCTCTGGCTAGCTATTGGCATAGTGTCCAAGGAACTCAGCAGTCGGCCTGAGTAAAAAGAAGATGCCTTAGCTGAGCAGGCCAGGTGCCGGCACTCAGGAAGCATGAGCCGTCTGACGAAAGGGATTAGCATATGGCCTCAGACTCAGTTTACCTGCCCCGCTCTAACCTCATCCTGGTCACTCGTCTACACAGATACACAGCATGTCCCAGGTGGATTGTGGGTGGGAGAGGGGGACTCCCATTTAGAACGAAGGCCAAGGATACCCGGGACGGAAGGGAGGGAGTCGAAAGGACCCCTCCTGACAGAGGACTGACCCTCTCTTTCTCAGTGAAGTTTGATGTTTCATGAGCAATTTTGAACAGAAAGAAAATACCTTGTCCCAGTGGCGATAACCCATTATTTAAGGCTTTGGCCACCACGCCCCATGGGCCACCCAGAGCTTTGGCCAACATCGTCTCAGGCTGGAGAGGCCGCACTGGAACCACCACCGCCCCAGGGCTGGAGACAGGAGAGTGGGGTGGCCACCTATGCTCTGGCCAGCACCCCTCCCTACTTCCTGCCACTCCCACAGTGCACTGCAGGTTTCCTTCGAATATGAAAAAAGAAAGCAAGGGCCAGCAAGGGCAGCCCCTCACGTCTGTAAACAGAGAGAAGATGCTCTTTCCCAGGGTCCCACTTCCAGCAAATGGAAAGAAAGTTCTCTGACTCAAACAGTGCACGAAGCCTTTGCATGTTCTGAAACAATGCCATTTGTTTCTACTCACACTCTGCGGAGTTGGCCTTTTCCTTAAACACATTCCAGACCAAACACTGTTCAGTTTGTCTCCAAAAAAAAAAAAAAAAATGTATATACCTGTATGTAACCCACCATTCTTTTGTGGGGTACCTGGTCGTAGGTTGGGGCTGCAGATGTACCTGACATTTGCAAAAAGGTATTCCAATCCTTTGGTTTTCAAAATCAAAAAAGTTAAGATAGAAAAGGTGAAGTGGGCAAACAGATTCCTAAAGGGAGGGTGACTTATTTCCTGAAGACTAGAAAACCATTCTGCAGATGCGTCCGCTTGAACACCCCTACCGCGGACCGCAGGCCGGGAGGAGTGAGCGGAAGACAGAGGCCCGAGCCCCCTCAGCCCAAACCTCCACTGTGGTTCCTGCACATCGTGGTCGCAGTGGGAGCCAGCCCCATAGCGAAGTGCGTCCTGCATGCCAGCCACGGCCTGACCTGGCCGGAGGCGGGAGGCGCATCAGCCTTCTCGGCCCTCTCTGCCACCTGCAGCAGGACAGCTCGGCTGGGGCCCTGGGCGGCCCTCTTCTCCAAACCCAAAGGCTGTGCATTTGGCAGCCAAACCCGCAGCATGTGGCTGCCAGGTCTTGTTTTGTGGACAAAGCAAAATGTGGAATGGCTTCTCTCTACCTTTCTACACCAAAGGGACAAACTGTCGTGTTCACCCTTCGTACTAATGCCGCTTCTGCATTCATCA